TTCTGATTCTGATTCTGATCCTGACATTGCAGATTCTGACATTGGTCATAATTAGTTGTTAACACATTTGATAAAATGTGTGAATGATATAATACTGCCATAATCTCTGAAGTCCAAAATCCCAAATTTTACCCTTCAAATAAATTACAATAAAAGGTTTCCATAGACCAAACCATAGAGGAGCGAAACAGGAACATCTGACAATATCGTACAATTCTGTAGAACGACACCAGAAACTAAGGCCCCAATAAACCTGACATCAGCGTCTCTCTGACACAGCTTCAACAACAAAAAGAATATTATAAGACATAAAGACAGAATTTATTTATTGCTGAATTTACAGGTGTTCCAGATGTTTTCACGAAACTACGGCGTCCTAAAACATTAAAATCGCCATGACAGAAATCAACCGTTGCCAGTGATTAATACAGTGGTGGATTATTATACATCCGTTTTATGCTACTTTATACTTCTGCTCTGCTACAAGTCAGAGAGAAATATTGTACTTTACACTCCACTGCACTTATTTTACAGCTATAGTTAATATTGAAAATTCTGATTTTGCATACAAAGTCTATCAGTTTATGAAATATTTTATAGATTTAACTTCCAGACTGTACTTTAAACTGTTCAACTTATTGTTCTGGACGGCACAGCACCAGGAAATAGCTTCACCTCGACACAGCTACAACATTAAAATGCTTAATGCATCAGTGGTATTAATCCAATAATATAATATGTAGTATGTCACTGAAGTGTTTTTGATACTTTAGGTATATTTTTCTGATAATACTTTAAATTTGGAAAGCAGGACATGTGCTTGTAATGGAGTATTTTTACATTGTGGTATTGATATTTTTACTTTAATAAAATATCTGAATACTTCTTCCAACACTAAATATATACAGATTCTTTACAAAAGAAAAATCACAATATTTCAGTTGAATGAATTCCCTCTACCAGTATTGTTATTAATAAATTCAGCTCCAGTTAATATCTGATCATCTACTAAGAAAAGTGCACTTTTGTCTTACAATCAATACCAAGCTGACACTGAACGAACCCTACAATCTCCAGCTGCAGTCACTGCCTCCTGCGCTGCTGCTGCTCATCAGCTCTCACCTGATAGGCCACCATGTTGAGGAAGTAGTTGTAGACGCCACTGCGGTTCATCCCCTGAGTGGCCGACATTGTGCCTCTAAACTGCTTCTCATCGGCCACCACAACCCTACATTTGGCCATGAACTTCCAGCACAAACAGGTTCTCTCAGCGTGCTTGCAAAGATGGCATCCTCACATCCTGAAAGAGGCCAGAACACAACTCCCTCTAACTGGCCTGTCAGAAAATGAAAAGAAAAAGTAAAACCACAAAGTCCAGCAGGTTGTCCCTACACGCTCCTTATGCTGGATTAGTGGTAAATCTAGTCCGGCTGGGCTCCCTGCAGCCGAGAGCCTCAGCATGAGCACCGGTTCAGCTGCCCTCAGTCCAGCCTCACTGGGGAATAAGTTGTTTTTTGCCCATATCCTGCGTGCTTTGGCTCTGTGGCTGCGTTGGGTGCTGCCAGAAAAGAGGGAGAGGTGGTGGCGAATGCCCAGTGCCCTCCCCCATCCTCCCCCTGTCCTACCCGGTCAGATTAGGCAGTGAGTCTGTGAGGGGAGGAGGGGGTAAGGAGAAGGAGGAGGTCGACAGGGACCATGTGTCAGTCCCATCTGTCCCTCCCTTCCCTTCCCCCAGCCCTGCACAAACTCCATAGTACGAGATTGGGCAATACTCGTGTTTAATCCAGACTTATAAAATTAAACAATTACCCAGGGTGGTTTCTAGATGCTGATGCCTGACACATCACAGCCTCCTGTTCATATAGCCCCCCCACTAGACTTTGTCCAAGTCTGAATCTGTGTGTCACTCACAGAAAGAGGCCACGTCCATAATCCCAACAAGTTATCATGACTGCATTACGACCCAGAAACAGTGAAGTGGGACTGGATGCAGGGCTGTCTGTGATGGAATCAACAATGGCCGAGTGCATTAGTAGATGTCCTCACAGCTTAATAATAAACAGGCCAATGGAATTTTTTGGGGGGCTCTAATGGAAGGCCAGAAAGGCATCAGGCTGAGAATGAAAACTGAGTTGCAATAATGTTTAAGCTTTTAAATGATTTGTACTTTTGTCAGCTGACACTATTCACTTTCTTCTGAAAACGCTTCATACAGCTGCTATGGACTGTTTGCAACTCCAATTTTCTTCTGCTTGTAGTGTCCGACAGCCTTGCTTGCTTGCTTGTCAGCAGCAGAAACACTGAGGTTGTATTGTGAAGCGCTTTCAGCAGTGAAATGAAATGATGTGTCTGGTAGCTGTTGAAAAGCACTGAGTGCATGAGGAGAGAGTCAGATTAGATTTGGGTTAGTGTGCAGGGCGGAGCGCCGGGATAATCCCGTCGTTGTTCAGACCTCCTCTCAGTCAGGATGACCTTCATCAGCCCAGACAGAACGTTAGTAGCTGCGTCCTGTTAGATTACACTCTCTGAGGCGCCACAGACGGGCGTCACTGAGCCAGAGACAGTTCAGTCAAAGTGCAGTGATTTGTCGCTGTGCTGCATCTCACCTGGTAACACTTTAACCTACACAGCTGTAAGAAAGGCTGTTCCTTACAAAGGCCCAGTGACACAGCCGCTTTCTCTCTCTGACCTTTAGATCACTGACCTTCAGTGGTGGAATGTAACTAAATATATTTACAAATTTGAAGTACTTGTAGCCTACTTTACTTGAGTATTTTCTTTTCATGCAACTTTCTACTTGTACTTCACTACAATTCAGAGGGAAATATTGCATTTATTTTTTACTTATCTGACCATTTTAGTTAGTGTTTCATGGTTCCAGCCTCTGAAAAGTGAATATTTGCTGCTTTTGTTTTTAATTATTTAAATAGTTTTTATTTCTTTTAGATAATAAATAAATGTTCCCATATGGGAAGAGGTACAGAGGCTTCCGCACCACCAGACTTAAAGACAGCTTCTTCCCTCAGGCCATGAGACTGTTAAACTCTTCCTCAGCACTGCATTACACAAATTAGTTGTTATTTTCTTTAATTACTTATTATTTTTTCAGCATAAAGAGAATTATATGTAAATTTCATCATACAACCCTGACAATAAAATAACCTTGATGAATAACATAAGCATTTCTATTTTCAGAATTTTTACAAACCAAATGAATAAAATGAGCTTAAAACAACAAAAAGTGACAATTTAAACAACTTCAGAGAACAAGTGATGACAGAAATGATCCAGAAGAGATGAGTTGTCACATGTGTCATGTTTGTCTGACCCTGCAACATAACAGCTTTAGTTGGATGAGTTGTTTTTAGAAACAATTCCTCTTAACATGCATGTTGGAAAAGAGCAGCCTGTGCCAAAACCTTCGACTGTAATTCTCTAGAAGAGCCACAGTCTGCCCAGGTTCACCTTCTAGGAACTGTTAACAAACAAGAGGTTAAAGAAACGCCAGCTTGGTTTCACACTCTACGCTAAGAGGCTTGGACTACAGACCCAGTGAATGAGGACTCTCTAAACCTTCTAGCAAACCAACAGTTGTAGAAACACACTGTCACATTTAACCAGCAGTCACAATCAAACTGTCTTTCACTTCCTCTGTGGTGGAAAAATGTAAAACATATAACCCTACATGTAAGGTTCAAACGTAAAGCCAGTCACATATGAAGAAGCATCAATTTTCCATGATTAATGAGTCATTACACTACACAATACATCAAATGTAGTTTTTAACCATCCTTGCAGTCAATCCACTTTGGCCCAAACTGAAATATAACCACTATGGAAAAAAAGCTTGAATAAAATTCTGTGTGTAATAAATAAATGTGCTATGTTATAGTTTCATAAACTGTAGAAAGTAAAATGAGAGTTATAAGAAAGCTAATTATGTAATCTAAATGTACAAATTATTATTATTTAACAGTTTATTAACCAGAAACATAGCCTATATTGTGTGACAACTTTTAGGGCCAAGAACGTCCCCACAGGCCTAAAAACAACAATTTCTTTGACATGCTATCCTTAATGTCACTTTAGATTATTCCCTCCAACATGAGCGGGTGTAAACCAGTAAGTCCCTGCAATAAACACGTGTTGCTCTCAACGGTCCAGGCGGCCGCGGCCCTGCATTCCTGGGGGCCCCTTTCACTCTGAGATAATTGCTGCTGCCTTGTGGGAGAGGAGGAAGTGCCAAACAGAACAAACAAAAGCAAATAAGCGGATGCAAATCGCCGCTTGAGTGAAAGCGCTCAATCTATGGTTTCAACGGGCTTGTGCAATAATAGTTGGCTGAAATCCAAGCTTGTTTACAAAAAAAGGACAAGAAAAATTATCCATTCATTAATCATTTTGGATTCCTTTTAAGCAAAACTATAGAGTAACAGTTTTTGACCCACATTATTTTTTAAACCTGTTTAAGTAAATTAAAATATCGATGTTGTAAATGACTCATGGAGCTGCAAGAGTTGTCCTTCCCATAGAAACACAATGTACCCATTCATGACTGCGACATGACTGAATGCACAACCTGCTCATATTCTGAGGAATCAGACTGAGGACAGACTATTAATCTGCACCACATTCTTTAACTCACATCTTAATGGCTGAAATTTGATTAAAAATGGAAAGAAGTTCATGTTTTTATTGGTCAGACATCGAAACCTGATGTTTGACATTTTGGTTACACTTTTTCATCTATCGGCTGATTAATTATATGTGGACAGACCCATCTACATGTTTTGTGTACTTTTGTTTTCATGGTTTGGGCACAGTTCATGCCCACACAGGTCATTGTCCCCCCGTGTGGGCATGACACACGGGGGGACTGTGAAAGAGTTATATTTCTTTTATGGATTTGTCTAACTTAAAGGGTTTTTAGAGGCTGGAGGAGTGAAGGGTATCCAGTATTTCACAAGGAAAAAGCAAGAATTAGAGATATGTCAGAAAATGAAACATTTTCTTTGACGTATGTTATTCTTTCTTATCCCTTGGATCATCTGGTGACCCCTCAGATCCATATTGAGTTGGGAACCACTGGTAAGCTTCCAACTTTGTGGCAACAGTTTATGTTTGCCCCTCCTGTGTCAACATGACAATGCCCCTGTTCACAAAGCAGCTCCAAATGGTTTTCCCAGTTTGGTGTTGGAAAATTTGACTGGTCTGCACATAGTTCTGACCTCAACCTCATCCAACACCTTTGGTATGAACTGGAACACCGACTGTGAGCCCGACCTTTTTCACCCAACATTAATGCTCTTGTGGGTGAATGAGTCTCCGCAGCAGGTCGCAACATCTGGTGGAAATAAGTGGAGGCTGTTAGAGCAGCAAGATTAATGCCTATGGTTTGGAAGGACATGTTTGACAATCACATATGTGTTGAATATTCAGCGATCCGCATTCTTTTGACCTATTTTCTTTTAGTTTTTCTGAACCCCCCCCCCCCCCCC